GCTTCTCAAAGTTGGAGAATTTCCCAGTGGTTTCCATTGGGATCATCCAAAAAACAGTCCCCTAATTGAGAAGCTCGATGTTCCGTACAGTTGAGTTCCAAGTTTCAAGGCAACTACCATCTTCGGAGATCCAAAAGAGGGACGTGGGAATTCCGTACTTAGAAAGCCGCCCAACATCCCTATTGGCCATTTCAGTAGGTGGTTGCTTCACAAAATCCATAGTAAGGCCCGTACTAACCGTTGTCGCCCTGTTGGTAGAACCAAAGGTCAATGGACTTTCGGCGCTTTCTCAGTTGCCAAAGGACCCCACAATAAAAGGTGATCACTTTTGGGGGCCAGGAACACAAACCAAAAAGGAGAACCCTCGTTTCTCAGTTGCAAACGGACCTTCAGCATAAAAGCTCAACCTTCTGTGGCCATGACTCAAAGAAAAAGCGGAGAACCCAAAGATCATTTCAGGTCGACAATTGAGCCGCTCATGAAGCCCTGAAATCCCTGGGAGGCAGGCCTTCTCTCGTTCCTTGGGCATCTCCTCGGCTCGGGGAATGGGACAAGCTCGACGGCTACCCCCTGCAAACAGTTTCTCGTGGCCGCGCTCACGAGACAAGGGCGGTCGTCCGATGTAAGTGAGTGAAGCAACCCGTTTCTTGGCCCAAGGACACACCAACAAAAACATGTTCAGCTTCTGTGTTGAATTTAGCACACCTTGAAACCACAGGTTTATCGGAGAAGCCACAGGTTTATTGCTCTAACCCAGAAAGAGGAGGCGTACAGGAAAACAAGGGTACACCAGTCCACGGCTTTCGGACTTACAAAAACATGGAGCGTGTCAAGGGCGATGTCTGTGATTTTCAAAACAAAAAGGACACACCAGGGAGGTTTCCCAAATCATGTGGGAAGGTCTGCAGTGAAAACGACAAGACCCGTCTCTTGGGGCACGCTTGAAGGGAAGCCAAACATGTGTTGTCTGGTTTTGCAGAGAAACCAAAGAAACACCCCCCGAAAAGCTCTATTATCGAAGCGAACAGACAACTAGTTTGATGAGAAGACAACTGGACATCAAAAGACAACAAACACCTGATCGTTGAATAGTTTATAAGGAACTATCATGTCTATCCAAATACATCTAAAGATTCATGCATAATCCAGGCTCGGGGGGGTCCAGGACGGAAAAAGGGCCAAATCTGGGAATCAAATGGGCAAACAGCCGAACCTAATTACATACAGCTGGGACTGTTTCTTACTAATCTGCATCTTCCCAAATCGGAAATAGTTGTTGAAGGTGAAAGATCCAATCAAAACGCCTCTCACTTCTCAAGTGGATTGGACAAGCAAGAAGAGAGACCTGTTTGCCACTCCTTGCGTCCCAATTGAAGGCGTAGTACACTTTCAGTTTTCGCACCAGTGGTACCTCTCAAAAAGATGGAATCTGAACCTCCATTTGCTTAAGCCCCTTAGAAAAATGACAAAAACATCTCAGTAGTGATCGATCCCCTTTCAATTCAACAGATACAAAGCAAAGATTAACAAACAACCAATAAAAACATATCCCAGCAGTGATAAATCCCCTTACCTGTAAAATCAACAGGGGGCAACAAAACATAGCCCTCAGCGAACGGAATCCGAAGGTCCCTAGAGCTTGCGAGAAAAAACACAAAAAAACAACCTCCCATCTTCGGCTCCTCCAGCGCCCGTGCGATGACGCCGCGGTGCAGCACGCTCACGAAGCAGATCTCGGCCAATGTGCGCGTTGGCAGGGGAGGAAGCCCGAAGGCCCAAATGGGTATGGGTCAAAATAAAACCACCAGGAATTGGACCACAGGTGTGGGTCCATGTTTCCACTTACAAGGGTTCCATTTTGGGTACCTATTTTTGACTCACAACCAAATAAGGAGTTATGACGGGTGAGAGATAACAGCTCATTTGGGCTCCTTGTTTCCAACTGAGGCTTCATGAATAAAGAAGGGCCGTAGGGGGCAGATTGGGCAAAACCAACAGCAAACATTTCGTTTAATCTATAATATCAACTATCTATACAAATTATACAAATATATATATATATATATATATACACATGGAAGTCCTTCTTTGTGCCTTACAACAAGCTTGGTATACAAAATTCTAAGGGCAGAATACCCTGCCAACGAACTCGCAAGTGCACTCGCTCAATTGGGCGCAGACCTGCTTTCCTTTTGGCCTTGATTTTAGCATCAGCAGGGCAAATGAGATCACACGAACATACTGCGTGGTTGCAAAGCAAAGGGACGGACATTGGCCGAACCGGGAAGCCTGCCGCGCTGAACTCGCCTTGGTTTCTAAAGCAGGGAAGTGAGAACACCAGGTATTCACGGACAACCACTTCCGTTGTAAATAATAATAACCCCCCCCCCCAAAAAAAAAAAAAAAAACTGGAACGGGTGACACCCGTTTCGATTTAAAAAAATGCTCGGTTGAAGCCCGCAGGTAGTGAGCAGCTCTTGGATGGCGCCGCTGTCTGCCTCTCCAGGCGCCGCTTCTAGGCGACGAGCTCGTGGCAATGCTGCAATGCGCTTCTGCCCATGCCGAGCCTCCAAGGATCGCCTGCTTTCAAAGGATAAGAGCTGAGCTTTCACACCGCTCACAGCATTGAATGGCCCCAGGTATGGCCAACCTTACTTTCTTCTTACGGCATATTTCCATGGGCGAGAGTTGGACCTCGCTAGAAATCACAGTTTCCAAGAATAGGAGGGCCATTTGTAGCAGGTTTGGCTTTGTTTTGTTTAGCCATTCAAACACATCCCCACTCAGGGGCCGTGACTGGACCTCAAGAACATGTGTCTCGCTCTTTCAACCCTCCGAAAATTCTCAGCGCAAACACACGGTCCCTGCAAAGAAAAACACAAAGCATTGAACAGCAATTACCAATGGTCTGCCCATGGACCTTTGTGGTGTGGTCACTGTTTGCAGCCTGCTTTGCCTCTCTGATGTCAACACCCACGTACTCGGTACTGGTTGCTTTCCCCACAAAGCTCCCATAGGCAAAAACCGTTTATCAGTGGCAACAAAGACGAATGTCTAACTGGAAGGGGACAACGCGAGGGGTCACGAGGTGTCCAACATAAAATTAACATAGATAACCCCTAAAAACCCGGAGGCTCTGTTTAGTATGCCGCCCCGAAAAGAATCGAATCAACATTTTCCCCAAAAATGAACAGCATTTACAATCTGTCCACGGATTCGCCACTTGGCTTTAGGTGGGGGGCCTGGCCGCTGGGGCCGGTTACGGGCAAGAACGATTTTCAGGAATGGCACAACCTCTACATAACTAGCAGTCGGTTGTGGGGTAAGCCAAGCAAATCCATGATCATGTTGTTTGCACACGTATAAATTGTATGAGGTGTCCCCCAAATTGGATTTTGTTTTTGTTTTTTCGGCAGGTTGAAAGGTCAACAAAAAGATCCGATGACAGGAGAAGGTGTCCCAGCCCCTTTCAAGTTGCTTGTCCAATGATTTGTTGACCTCGCTTCGGTTCCCCTGAAAAAGGCCGCTTCTTGGGTCTTGTTTGATTTGCAACCAGCCCTGCTTAACTGCCAGCCCAAACGTGGCTCAAGCAGCCCTGTTTGCGGATCCCCAATATGTGAATGGGAGGGGGAACCCTTGGAGCCGGAGAAAAAAGCAGACACTGGGCCACACTTAGTGAACTTGAAAAGGGAAGGCATATTTTTCAAACGAATCCCATATAAGAGCCTCTGTACACAAGATCTTGGAGCAAATCCAAAGAGTCTCCACACGTGGCATTTTTAAGACAAACTTAGACAAGACTAACCAAAAAAGGACACCTGTGGGTGCTGCCCTATCTTAAATAAAAGGTGAACCATGCGGTTCCATGACTAAAAATGGACCAAAATTGGGAAACCAAAAGTCGATTCGCTTTGGGCAAACGAGTATTTGGTGGCAGGAGATTTCATGGTCTCCGGCCGGCGCGGCTTAAACGGTTGCCCAAGAAACGCCCCTGCGCGCCTGCAGCGCCTGCACCTGCACGCCAGCCCAGAACCAGCTGCCCGGCAGGATGCTGCCTCTCGCGCGGCTCGGGGGTGTTCCGTATTTTTGGAGTTGGCGCCCCTTGTTTTTGTGAGTTTAATGGAAAACCAGAAGAAAACCACGCCAAGGAAAGCAGCCTGCACCATCTGATTGTGATGACAATCAGGGGGTGTCGTCCAGGCCATAAACAGCGTTCAGATTGTTGCTAGGGAGGTCATTTTCTAAACGCGCGCAATCCGCCATTTGTCCAACCAATAAGTCGCAAAAGGAAGATCCTTTTTTATTCATGGCGTGCCTGAGATGTCTTGCAAATACGACACACAAACACAATCTGGCCAGCTTGCCGGCCAACAAAATCGAAGACGACACTGCATTGCTTCGCAAGGCTAGGCAAGCACATCAAGCAGGGTTCCAGTGATAGGATTATGCAAAGGTAGACATACACCCCAAGGGGTTGAAGCCTTATAATTAGAAAAATGGAACGGTGACAACGGTGACTGTCACTAAAAATCGTCCGACGGCATTTGTCGACTTGCTCGGGGCGACTTTCTGCACTTCTTTTCCGTCCGGAGGTCCAACACCTACACCTACTGAGTTGAGCGAGAGGCCTTGCAAGCAGGGTTGGGTTGTTGCCACGAGACAACATGGATCAGGATCATTGAAACAAGTTCAGTTGTTCTCGCTTGTCCACGGTTTACTTCTCCACCAACCTGAGCTGGTTCAAAGTTGTTGTTGGCAATTGCCCAACCCGGCAACGCGGGCGTTTCCAGCAACAAGGCGCCCGTGAGGAACCCCAGACACGGCAACAAGGACACTATCACGAAAGGGGAGGTTGCTCTATTCCCAACCCTCAATATGTCAGGAAACATCTTTGCTCTTCACATCCCCATACTCACAAAGAACGGCGCCAAAAGGCAAAACGGCTAAACCACTAATCAGCACCTCAATGAGACTAGGAATTGCGAACGACAGACTGATAAACCAGAAGCCGAACACAAGCCGAAAGCAATAAAAACAAGCTGGAAATGCCCGGGTCAGGGCTTCATGAACATGTCGGGGGTGAAACGCCGGGCTTCTGGAAAGGCTTCGTTCCGGTGAAGCAGCAACCACTCCTTGGATCGGAGATGAAGGACTCGGAGGTTGCTTTGGTATCCAACCCGCCTAGGGCTTGCGTCTTCTTGGCTGATTTTAGGGCCAAGATGCAAGATGGTTCCAACTGTTGATGCAAAAACCCCTGTTGCCCCAGCTACAAGGCGATACATCTTACTTGACGAATCACTGGGTGGGGGGCTCAGGGTGCTGACCATGACCATTGGCGAGGTGGGGTGGGGGGAGCGGGATGGCTGGATCATACATACACGCATACATACATTACATTACAGTACATACAGTACATTACACTACATTATGTTACATGACGTTACATTGCACTGATTACATGCCATTTACATTACAGCACATTGCGTTACATTACAAACTCACATACGCACATACCTACACATATAAGGACATAAAGACATACATAATCCTTGCTTCCTCTCAACAAACCTTCCCCTAAGAATCACCCCCCCCAGTCAAGCCCAATACTAAACCACAACTAAACGGCAGCGCGGTTCTTGAGGAGAGATCTGCTTTCGCTGCCTCCGAACTTCCTGCATGCAACCATGACGCGCGAAATGATGCCGCTGCGATAATGACACATTGTGAACACCAACACGCCGTTGACGGCGTTTCTCTTTGAGGGTTTGTCGCCGCCCATATTCGTCCCTCTCAAGCAGCAAACAACATCAGATCAAGACCCGCAGCCGGATATGAGGCACCGTTTCCAGCGTTTTTTTGTTTGTTTTTTTACCAGTATTGCAGGAGTGATAAGGGAAGGCAGGGAGGGAGGGGGAAGGATGGGACGGGAAGGGGCAGGGCGGGAAGGCGGGGGCAGGGGGAACAGAGGAAGGGAGGATGGGGGGAAGGGATGAAGAGCACGGAGGAAGAGAAACGAGCAAGAGAAAGGAAGCAAGGCACAAAGGCGAGGAAGGGAGGAAGGGAGGAAGGGAAGGCTTGGAAGAGAGGAAACCTGACAAATAGGGGACCTGGCCATCCAACTTCTTTCGCTTTTTGGCGCACAAACCCAAGCCAAGACACGTAGATGTGCGGCGTGTTGTTGTAGGCTTGGAACCTTGGCTACCAGATGGGCTGTGCTCCCTACATAGTGGGCTTTAAGGGTGCCTTTAAATTTCCTTTGTACCAAGTACAAATGATTCAGGGTTGCATTTTCGAGAAAACCAAGGCAGCCTTCAACCCAGATCAGTTCCATCAACAAAGACCCAACTCACTGTTGCCATCATTAAGCGCATGGTCCCGATCCCCACAAGCAGGTCTGATGATACGCAATACACAACTTTCCATGTTGTTGGCAGCTCCATGGCATGTTTGTTGCAGCCTCAGACACCTGGAATGCCACATGGGCTATTTCCAGAAGCCCTGATCCTGCTGGACGATTTTAGGGGATTGATTTCAAGCGGTGATTCAACACCCCTTGGACAGGTGCACATCCCAAGAACCCCATCTCCCCATCTCATTGTCCCATCGCTAAGCACCCCATTCCAACCGCTGCATCGAAACCATCGGGTTGGAATCCCAGTACGGCAAGCCACTATGCCAACCCTACTGGTTCAAAACCTACGGAATCAAACTTCCAACCTTGACTTTGATACCAGCCCACCAGTAAACGAAAATAATAACTTGAGTCATATAGATTCTGAACGAGTCAAACATGTTGTTTCTCCCCCTAAGCTCACTCCACCAAAAACAAACCAACAAACAACACACAAAAACACACATCAATCAACACAACATCAACACACATCAACAAACACAAATCAACAAATCAACAAATCAATCACCAAAAGTTGATGTTGCAAAATGCCAAAGACGTGAATGGATTCCCCGCAAACCACGAGCCATCTTCGCAGAGGCGCATATGGCAATGGTCCAAAGTGCCCACGTCCACTCGTAAGTCCTTGGCCCCGCAGCTTTGCAGCTCCTCGGGGTTGCGGGGGGGGTGGTGGGGGATGGCTTGGAGGTCTGGAAGGGTGCCGTTGGGGCAAGATGCTCTCCCTCCTAACATGGAAGCTCTGAGAAGGCCTCTGTGAATGGAACCAAGTCTTGGGGGGTCCTGGAAGCTTCCACCTCTTTGGGAGGGTGTGGCGAATGGCATTTCCGGCGGAGGCCGCGACAGTTAGACAAAAGGTAGCCAATGGGCTGCTCTGGGATGCTACACGCATGATGTGTTCTCTTTGCAAGCTGGAACCTGTTTCGTACCCGTTGTACGGGTCCCTGAAGTTGCGGGTCCGGACCACAAATTCTTAGGCCATCAACCAAAAGAGGGTCTGGAACAATTCTAGCACCCCTCCTTACTTATCTGGAATTCTAAACAAGCGAATCTTTTTGTGGAAAAGTGGGCGTCAAACAAAAGCCAAGGGTTTTCTCCTGAGACCCTGGCACAATGGTAGAAGCTTCGGTCGAGCTTAAAACCAAATCCCTTACGTCACAAAGTTGCTGCCGTGTTTCCACTTCATCCACTACATTGCTGGTTCCCTTTGGTTTCCCTCTAAACCAACCCCAAAAAGCTACCTTCCAAGAACAACCGCGATAGACCCTTCGCGCTTGGGAGACGTCGGTCGATTTTTTTCCGCGTCCTCATAGAGCCGCTTTTCCGGCTCCAGCGGGGTGGTACCGTCCTGCGTCAAGAAGCAAACAGCCGTGCCCATGCTTCTAAGACGTCCTCCAAAAATATACGCTAAATGGTTGGTTTCAAAGAGGGTTGCTTTCTTGGTGGTGTTTTCCACATTTTTAGTAGTTGTGCAGCCAAGTACCAAACAACATGCTCACAAGGGTTGATTAATGCAGAACACAGTGCGTGAGTGTGCTTAGCTTCGAACAAGCAACACAATGAAAACACTCCTGATTTGCATGTACTTCTGTTGGCCCGATACTGGCCAACAATCAAACACAATGTAACATCAATACTGAAAACACTGGGTTGTTTAGCATTTGTTCAAGGATATAAAGTGAAGGTAGATCATGGGGCGGTGTAACTATATACATACAATATGTGCACATATAGGCATATATGGTGGGGCGGTTGTTCTTGTCTCGAAAAGGCCATTCTTTGCGAAAACCGAAAGTAATTTTGGAATTTTGCGGACTCGCCGCAACTTTCCTAAGGTCAGATAGTCGCAGCTTGTCAGAAGCGTGTGCGCATGCGTTGGAGCTTCCGCAGCTCCGGCTGGAAAGTCGAACTTTCTCAGCTTTCCTATCTTCCTTTACAAGATACGGGTACGCAAAACTTTCGCGAACCAAAAATACGTTCCGCTAATCTTTCACGAAGGTATCTCGACCAACACCGATGTTCGGCGAATACTAAACCCTTACAAGGACCTTTAGAACGACTCCGATATACATGCTTTAGTACCCATAAAAGGGTGAGCAAGAATGCTGTGGGTTGGTCGTTGAACTCTGCAAAAAGTTACTGGCCATGCAGCGGGAAAACACAGAGTTTACCAAGCAAATCAAGGCTCACGGTCGAACCACGGAACAACCGAGTGCTGCATGACTTGTGTCATATCAATATGTGATAATATAACACACCACAATGTCAAACAAACACAATGGCGGCCCTTGAAAAACAAAACTCCGCCCCACGATAGAGAACACTAGTTACAAGCTGATGCCCCCAATAATATGGTCTGTTTCTCACAAAGGTTCAACCCCAGTAGATCCAGCTACAACTAGAACTAGGCTCCCAGGATTTGTCCTTCCAGGTTTTACACGGTGTTCCCTGCTGGCTGCCCAAAAAAGCGCCAATCCATGGAAAATTGGAATCACGAAAATTTCAGGATATTTCTGTGCTCCCAGGAGTCTCAGCAGGGATTGTCCACTTACCTAGAAGCCAATTCCCTTCCGAAGTAGCATCATGCTTCTACCCGACTTCGCGGTTTTCTTGTTCTTGATGCTCTTTTTTGTTCTTGTTCTAAAGGGTGATGGTCTTGCACCACCCTGTAATTGGGTTTCTTGTGGGAAGTTGAGTCCATGCCTTTCCCACATGGGAGTGTCTCTGCTTGCGGGTAATTACCCTTTTTGTGGTTATAGGTTTTAAAGGGAAAACTGGAAAACCTTCAGCCTTTTTTGGGGAGTCCCAGCCTTAAAAAGACACCCCCCAAATTGACCATACACAGCCCGCAATGCTGTGAAGGGCCAAACCCCATCGGTCCGCAGAGGAGTGAACTACGAAGATGGGCATGCTCCGGAGCGCCTGTGCCACAGGGAAGGAAGGGCGCGAATCAGTACCCCTCCAAAATCCAGTTTTTCAAGGGGCTAGGATGTTGGCTCCTGACTGAAAAAAAAGATTACCATCAAAACCCCGGATTTAGGATGGGTAGACAAATAGCTGCAAGGGTTGACAAGTTGGCTAAAGTGGAGCAACTAACCGCATAGCTAGCTCCCAAGACATCTTCGGAACATGGCCCCCCAACAGACCCCTTTGACCTGAACAGCCAAACTACAAACGGGATCTCTCGTAGGGATCCATATCCCCCGCCTGTAGAACAACTGGGTGATAATTCGGGGGTCTGAAAAAATCGCAAGACAACCATCCCCATGGGAAAGTTCAACAACATGTCAACGTGGTATTTGGCGCCCAAACACACCGCAATGAGATATACGGAATCCCCGTGTAAAGGATCTACATCGCTGGTAAGCTCGTTTTAGCCCCGAATCTATGAGCTCACGGCGAGTTTCGGTGGCTCAAGAGGAAACTTGTCGCTGCGACGGCGTGTAGCGAGTCGCCAACCTGGGCTGAGCTCAAACAGAAACCCCTTGTTGAACTCAGCCCAGGGTGTTTGCACCTCATGGCTCGCAAAGAGCCTGCCAAACGGAAGGACCTCAAAATCCATCTTGGACCCCTCTGACGAACCAGTGCTCCCATTCGACCGAAATGGGAGCAGAAACGAAAGTGTCCAAGGAAGACCTTAAAGAAAAGACAACAACTTTCTCACCCAACCAGAAACAACACCAAGCTTAAAGACAACCATAAAGAAACAACCTCAAAAAACCTTAAAAAGGCTAGCCCGGCTTAGGCTTGGTTCCGGTGTATGGTTCCCTGATCCGGATCCTGTTGCTCGCGGAACACTCCAACCTTCGGCGAGCGGAAATACGTAACTCTGGTTGATCAAACCAATCCGGACAAAGCCAGCAAAAAGGGGCAACGAGAGTAGGTGTGTCTTCTCATGACCGTTTTGATTTCGTAAGAGCCGAAGCTATCTTGTTGGGCTTGGGGAAGCCAAACCCCTTTTTTGTGAAGGGGCAAAAGCAAAAGCCGCGAGCCCCGCGGCCAATTCATTTGGCCTGGGCGATCTGTCGGCGCTGCTCGGGGTCGTGGTAGGCCGCGATGGGCGCGATGCCGGCAAACAGCCATGTCCTTTGGGCCGCCAGCTGCCAGGTTCCCATGCCTCAAGGCTTGGGTTGGTTCTCACAGGGGGACCTCGTTCCCCTGCTTCTGGGATGGCTTTTTCAGAAGCCAAAAGGAAACACCACCTGAAAGGGTCGTTCATGTTTCATTTCTGACCCAAATTGGAGACCATGGCACCCCTTGGAAGCCCTGTGGCTTCCAAGTCTTTGCATCAAGATCAGAAAAAGTGATTTCTGGTCTTCACCTCTGTGCTCAAAGGTGGCCAAATGCTTGTATCAGAAGTGCATACGTGCCTAACTGGGGGGGGGTCTGGAAACCAACGGAAAAAAACATTCTCACCCGGCTGTTATCCTTTTGGGCCTGCGGCTTACAAAGCATGGAGGTGTGTCCCGAGATGAAGCCAGGCGTCAAATAGGGGTCCGGCAGCATTCACACATCATCCAAAGGATCGAAGAAACCAAAGGCAAACCGGGTTGCCAAGATGAGTTGCAATCAAACTTGGTGCCTGAGGAGTCTGCTCAAACCTGCGTAAAGAACCAAGAGGCTCAAGGTCAAGGATTGGTCTCCGTCTCAAAATTAGTAAACCCTGAAATGGTGATTTCCCCCGTTCAAGTCAACCTCGCAAGGAGGACCACAATTTTTGTTTGTTCACACCTCTGGTTGTATTAGACTCCAACGCAGACCTCGGCTTGCCTTGAAACAGGGTCTATGGTAAGATCGAACTCTCAAGGTCAAAAGTTTGCCTCGGGCGGGTGCTGGAAGGCGTGCGGAGGCCAACAGAAGCAAGGTGAGCCGCGGCAGCTTTATCAGCCAATGGGTTAGAGCTCACTCACTTGGAGTAAACAGAAACAAGGTGGCCAAAAGGTGGCCAATGATCAATTCAAAACTCCCCTCCTACTTCTTGAGTGAATTGGTCAGGCAGAGCTTGCCGCTCAAATGATCTTCCCAAAACGACGTTTGAGGCCCAGATACAGGGGACTTGAGTCCAGGAAAAATGAACAACAAAGATGGATGGATGAACTGGGCAAAAGGTTTTGGTTGGGAAGATCTGCAAAACAGCAACAAAGACCTACGAAGAGCAAGGAATCTTCAGGCAGCGTTCTTCAAGATTGTTTCTTGGACATCAGGTTCCAGGTGGTCAACTAGGTCAAAGCCAACGGCTAATAACGGCTATTCATCTTTAAACAAACATTCTTTTCTGCATAGGGTAGGTCGAATGGGTCCCTGCCGGCTCTCTTTGCGTTGAACTGTTGTCAGCTGCCCCTTGGTTTGGAGCCCGGCTTCGAGGTGTGGAGGTTTGGAGGTTGGGTGGTTTCCGAGGAAGAGCCTCTGCAAGAAGGGGTGAACACTTCCCCAACCCACCGCTCGCCCAATCCAAAGGGGCAAAAAGAGCGCGCCTCCCATGGAGATACCGGTCAAGTAAATCCGCGTGGGGTCGACATAGGGCACCTTCCCAAACTCCTCCTGCACAGAGGGGACAGTGCTTCCCGAAAACATATGGACGTGTCTGTTGAGGGTACCCCGGCTTCTTGGTGGCTTGAAGGGAAGCCAACAGGAAAGCCACCATTTTGCGGAGTCTCCTAGAGAAAAAACACATGTAGAAAGAAAATAGAAACAATATGTCATATGGCCTATTTGCATACTAGGCTTTGTGGTTGGCTAACCTACGTGTCAAATGTCCAGTTGATCCCGGAAACAGTGAAAGTGGCAATCTGATCCTCAACTGGGGTGGCTAGGCTTTGATGTCTTGACATTGGAGTGAAATCCGTAGTTCCTGAAACGACCGGCTGCTGTACCTCACCCCAAGCGCGATGCCGAATCACCAACTTGGGGGAAAGCTGACGCAGGGAACAGGGAAACCCTGCGAATCACCATGCTCTGTGGTTGGTTTCCCACCCAACGGGGAATACATTATTTTCCCTTGCGCCAAGGGGAGCGGTCCGACTCAAGTGACGCAACACACAGGCTCTCGAAACAAACGGACACGGAAAACAATCGGTCCACCAGTCAAAGGGGGACAAGCCCCGAAAAAGGACCACACCCACACTGGGTCCATCCTCAAAAGTGCTCCGTGGTGGCTTATAGAGAAACCACACCCTCAGTTGCCTATTGGGGACCCAGAAAAGGTTCACTTCACCAAAAATAGTAGCCAACCAGGGACAACTAAAAGGTTTTCTACCCCTTTGAGGACCCCTCAAAATATTTAACTCCCGACTTAAAGGGAAAACCCCCCCTCTCAGTTGAGACCCACACCTCTGAGTTGCAGCCAGGCGTCTATCAGATCCAGAACCCAAGCTTGCGGCTGCTGCTTCCACTTCCACTTGCCTCGTCTGTTTTGAACGTCTGGAACGTGGGCTGTCTTGCTTTTGTATTGTTGGTAGCCATGTTTGGTGGTTTCAAAGAGACACCAACAGGACAACCATCATTTTGGCGGCCCCTACTGCACTTCACATAGTTTGCTGCTTGGCTGATGGAACTGCCCTCCTTTGAAGTATTGGACATCCCGTGTGCAAAAACCAAGAAACGTGGCAAGCACCTGGAGTTCAACCTCCTTCCTGGCTAAATGAAAATGCTGGCCTTTGAAACTTGGCCGCACCGTGTTTACACCAGATAGCAAGCAAGCAACATCGGACAGTGGAACACAGCCCAAAAAATATGAGACCATGCAAAGCAGCGGCAAGATTAGCTGGCTAGCTGAAAGTCGTGAGTGAATTAGCTACTTAGCAAGTTAGCTAGTTGTGTCTTGTTAGTTGTCTCGCTAAATAGCTATATGCTTTGTTGGCGTGTTAGCCATCTACTCCCCAGCTTATTTTCTTGAATCGTTAGGTAGTCAAAGACCTACGTCGCGCGTTGCTTGGTTAGTCTCTTAGCTTGCACAACCAAAGGCTGGGAATGGAAGTTGATTAAAACAAAACAACACAGACACTAGACACCAAACTGACACTAGACTCCCACTTGGTTGGTTGCCCTTCACCAGCTTTCACATGTCCCCGTTTAAACGTGAACCTCGTGGGTGGCTTGTTGGGGGGGTGGGGTGTTGCCCCACCAACAACTCCCTCCAAACTGAGACGTCCACCTGTTGATCAACCAGGGACTTAGTTTCTCTGGGTTGCCAGTAGCCACAGAATCAAAATGTGGGTTGGACCTGAAACTGTCTAAATCCTGTGTTGTGCGGTTAATTAAGTGAGCCCACCACCCAACATCCGTGAAACATGGACCATATACCACTATATACTTTTGTCGGAGTTTCGTGTAACAAAAGCCCATCCACGAAGTAGGCAGTTGGTTGGCCCTTGTGTGCAGTGTGACCGGATGTAACAGGCGACAGTCGACTAATCATATGACTGAAAGTGGTGCAGAAAGTGCTTGCCTGCCTCGCCTCGCTCACGAAGAATGGCCAAACGAGCATCAAACAATCACATGTGATTGATGCTTTGGGCCTCAGTATGCCGTTCCGTAGATTTATCTGAATGGAACAACACCTTGTTGTTTCAATGCTTACTTCCGGCCAGTGCCTGAACGCTGCAAACCGAGCAGCAATGGGGCGAGATAATGATGAAATTCTCCGCTGCAAAAATGGTTCCTGCGTGCACTGAAGCTTGCTGGGTTCAATCTTGAGAAACGCTGATTGTTGGATGAGGCTTTGGATTGGGCTCAGACAACATGAAAACATGGATGCAAGGAAACAAGTTGCTCAGTTCTCCCCAGGCTTGTTCTGTTCGACTGACCTTCCTGCCGCCGATGCACAATTAGTCAGCAAATGGCATAACAGCCGGACACATTGCTCCCGAACCAGTCTGTCTTGGTGCAACTTGTACAAACTGTTGTACTACTAAAACAAGGGAGCTCCTGAAAATCACGCAGGCTTCTGCGAAGCATGCCAGGTTAGCTCCAGAATCCTCTCGTACATTTTCCAAATATTATGTTTCTCACCTGCACGAAAAGCAAGTTCAACTCTCGAACTCCTCGGAAAACAGCTGGCTTTGTTGAGTTTCTTGAGGGTACCCCTCTTTTGTAGACGTAAAGGGAAACCTCAAGGAAAACCACTATTTTGGGGGTACCCCCAAAGAAAGCACAGCCTCGCTTGGAGGAGTATGGCTGCAAGCTTTCTTGGATGCTTATCGTGCCTAAAGGGCAACACCTCCATGAAACTAAACTGAAGACGTATCCCTTCCATGATGCAACTACCTCAGCTTTTGCCCTGGCCCCCAGCCCAACCAAACATGCTGAATAAATGTAGCTTCATTTCAACCATGCGACCCAAGAAAACCAGTTACATTGGGCCATCCCACAAAAGCCCTGCCCCACGAATCCCCAAACAACCAAGTCAAGCATGCTTCCCTTTCAAACCAGCCACCGGATCTGGACATCGCAACCAAAATAACTGCTAATAGATGGCCAGGGCACACATCCCCAACATCCTCCTTACACATAGGTGACCTATCATAGGTGTGTCAAAATGGCAAATGGACCCCCCCCAAATCGTAGTTGTCCTGGTGGTTCCCTTCTAAGCCATGGTGAAAACGGTACCCTCGAAGACAAACTGCTAATTGGGCAGGGTAGGTTCATGTCGGGCATGTAAGGGAACTTCCGAGTGAGGAATATTGCGAAACTCGTCTATTCGGAACCCTACCAATGCCCCCCCCTGAAAGGACACTCAAGGGCTAGAGGCTACTGAGATGAGGCCTGAAGCCAAATAATTCCCTGGCCCTTGCCTGCCATTGTGAATTTGCCTGACTGGGACGAACTCCGTGAACATAGGTCCCTCTTCCTTGCCTTCACTCGCTTGCCCAAAGGATTTGAAATATACTGGGTCAGCCTTTGGAATCTTGACTTCAAAGGCCCAACGTTGCAAAGCAGCAACTCAGATCTGGTGGATTTGCTTTGGTTGCAAGTGAGCGTGGCTTCCTAGAGCAGCCTGCGAGATGGAGGGTGACATCCAGGGTATGATGTAGATGCTCCTTTTGGCTGAAGGTTGATGTCCCAAGGGACAAAGACACATGGTCAACTGGCTGGCTACCCGAAGGGAAGGACCCGCGACAAGCTCATCACCGCACCTTTTTTAGAAAACATTGCAACGGGAGCAATTGGTGTGTGAGTTTGAGGTAGTGCCCGGTTGGTTTGCAGGTAAACATTTGGATACATCTCAAAAAATCGACTCATGCTTAGATGGTAAGCTCAGTCTGGCAATAAATACGTACATATATATATATATATTCAATCTATACATCATATTGCTAGCATAAAACTCAGTCGCCATAAAATATGCGAATCAACTGAAATCACTCAGCATGGTCAAAGCTCCGCATGTCGATCATGGTCGTGCTTGCCTTAACAAGGAATCCTCATGAAGCTTGTTTCGACTCCTAAAGGTTTCATGACAATCAGTTGCTAGGCGGTGATTCATAGCCCTAAGCCCCTTCCTCGCTCTACCCTGACCCCGGTGGCAACTTGTTGATTACAACAGGAAGCCGCTCCCAAAAAAAGTTAGTGATTGCGCTTTTTGGTACTTAAACAGTAAAGGGGAAGGTCTCTTTGCCTCGACAACCCCTTACTCAGGTCTTAGGTCCACCTGGGAAGGGTGTTCGGTGTGGATGGCAGAAATCACCATTGCACCATGGCCAACACTCCTCATATGGGTTATATATGGTCATTCCTCTTAACAATAGAAAATCCCTACACAAGGGTTTATGACAATGTGCACTATTCTTGCTCACTGAAAGAGCACAGGAACCTAAGTCTTAACTAACCCAGACCTGGCCACACGCTTTTTTCGTACCTGATTGTGACAAGAAGGCTAAAGTCTAAAGGGATCCCTTACGGCCCCTTCAGGTTTCTAGTTCCAGGTCAAACGGAACTTCCGCAACTTGGTCATAACTCACCACTGATGTGGCCATGAGTCAAAACCCCGTACCCCCAGTGAACATCCCAATGCCCACTAAAATCGGTTCTAAACTGGGTGGTGCACCGAAAACCTCAAAATGGGATCCCATTGGTTTAACGACCCACGGCCATGTGCTTGCGTCTAAACCAGTGCCATCTATTTCTAATCAAACTGAGCTAAAAAGGACACCTATGGGCCCAACCAGTTTCTTTAGTCCATCCAACGGAAACGTCGCGCAGAATTCTGGCGCCCGGCGCCAGGCCTTCCTGGCGCAACGCCTTCTTGCTGTAGGACAGGAAGCTGCCGCCCCCCGCGCCGTGGAGGTAGACCAGCAAAGGCCACTGAGCCACCTGACGCCCCGTCCGCGATTTGGTTGTGGATATATGGGTGTGGCTCAAAATTCAAGAGCTAGGCTTACGCAGGTTTTAGTCTTTGGTTCCATGTACCAAGGCGGCCATGTTGGTACATCTATTGGAGCCACTGCCATATGCGTTGAAGTTGAACTTTTGTAAACTCAGGCGAGCTCGAATATTGCAATGACATGGGACATATTTGCTTGTTTGCAGAGATTTCAATTTGATTGAATTGCCAGGGTTGGAGCCGCTTAGGGGGCGCTAAGAATGTGAGTTAAGGCTACTCACATTGGGTTGACGAAGGGTTACTGGAGACCATTCCTCAATTCCTAACACTCTGCAGAAAAAGGTTGACAAAATCTCCCCCCTCCCCCCACACGCGTCCACCATACAAATAACCACAAACGTTCAAGCAGCAACATGTGCAGCCTTTACTACCTCGGCTGCTGGCAACAAAGATGACATGGAGATTCCGGTCCATATAGACTTGACCTTGCAGTGAATGTCAAAAGAAGTACTGCAGGGCGCGCTAAAGCGTGTCGAGCACACTTGTCTTCCGCCCCACGGACAAGCCACGCCGTCGTCGCAAAGAGAAACATCCGCTATTGAGATCCATTAGGATGCATTGAGCCTGTCGCAAGCGACGGCAATACATGTCCGAGCTGTCAGCTGAGCAAACCGTCTCGATACTGAACACTTGTTCTGCATGTGTCCTGGAAGGTGTTCTTTCAGGCCAGCTTCCGTCAAATGCTTCAATGTCGCGGCGTGTCTGCATTGAAGTTGCTCCACCGCCAGGCGTCGCCTTCTTTGGCTTCGCCCGCACCATGCAAATCCAGATGTTCTCGGTCTCAACTTGATCGAAATACCCTCCATTGAATCTTGAGCCGTTTGACGATGGCCGGAATGAGAGCACAAAACTTGATCTGTCCAAGAATGTCTGCCTCAATTCCACGCATGGGTGCGTTCCGGACATCGACCAGCTGAGTCTGTCAAATGACTTGAGCCTGACACTCAGCTGTGGCTGGCTCTAACTAGTTGCCTTCAACATTCCAAAGGATACCAGCGAAACAACAAAGCAATCCTCTAATGTCCGCAAAGTCGAATGTCATGTGTCTCCCTTTGACGGGAGGCCAGAACTCATAGACCTCTTGTTGGCCAATTTAGGTGGGTGCAATCCCGGGCCTAGTATATAATACATACAATATGTATTATTCATATATATATATATACACATATTCGCATAATATTCGATGTATATATAATACTGTATATGTATGTATATGCATATATAAAGGACATGGATGCAACAAATAAGCCGTTGCACTCCTCCAAAGCTTGATTGAAATCCACGAAGCAACTCTTTTTGCTCATGCGTGTGCAGCATGCTTCCGCAAACAATGAGTTGAGACGTATCCATCTGGCCAAATAACTATACTTTACTTGGATAGCTGCATTTCCGCTGAATGGAAGATGCCAAGCGACTATTTATAAATGGCTGTGGGACAAAAATGGGTACCCTAATGGAACCCTGATAAATGGAAAAATGGACCAAGACCTGCGGTCAAATTCCTGGTGCTTTAATTTTGACCCATACCCAAATAGCCAAGGCTAGCCCGCCGAAGCCTTAGGAGCATCCCCAAAGCGACACCAAGGCCGTACATCGCTGTCGCAGGGGCGTGTAGCAGAGAATTTGAGGTATGTGCGCTAATGGCCCGGCAATGGGCCTCCGCAAGAGGCCTTGATGTATGACTAGGTCCTCCAGTAGAGAGGTTAGAATAAGGGTACCCCTTTTTTTGGTAGTCTATTTTAGTAGGGGAACCCTCCCCCAAAACAGGGGTAGAAGGGCACTACTGGGGGACCTAGATGATATGTCAAAAGGCCACACATTCTCCTGGCGAGCATCCACGCCAAGCAACCCCGCCGTTTCACGGCCTTCGCGCCCGTAGGTTTGTAGCAAAGCCTGTTTCGCTTCATTGGCAGCTCCTGCCTTTCGGCATGCGTGCGCGATCTGTCAAAGAAGCGGCTGCAAGCGCCTGTAGCGTCATGATCCTGGCTTTCGCATGTCGACAAAGCTTCAGCGCTTATTGCCGTTGTTCTCTCTTCTTTCAGTGAAACTAAAACTATGAAGGCTGCAATTGCCACAAGAAAAAGGTTGGTTTTAGGATGTTTTAGGAGCGCCGCCGGTTCTTTGGGCTTCTCAGTTCTGTCCTCGCTCAAAGATCGGCGCATGACCATTTCTTTTCGAGGCCTTTCCACTGTCCACACCTATTCGAGGCCTTTCCTAGGGTTGTCCTGGGCAACATGTCGCATTCAGAAATCAGAGCTCTGCGAAGGGGAGCAGAAGAAAAATGCAGAGCACCCTCCAAACATGAGGGTGTACAGAAAGCCCTTGACGTATTGAAAACAGCACCATGAGCTTGCTTGAACAGGCGCCCTTTCGCCTTCAAGTCTTGGCTTCGTTTCCTTTGGAGTGTGTTTGCGCGGCGCTTCTGTGGCGGACTGTGCGCAACACACCCTTCGGAATGCACGCCTTCGCGGGGCTTTCGCGGCGGGACCTTCTTTGGGCGCTTTCGCGATAAGCTTTTGCAAGTTTTCGCTGCCCGCGTTTTGGCTTTCGCGGGGGCTCTATAGGACACCCCTTTGTTACTTTTCATTACAAGCGTCTATGGCGCCGCTGCTCAGATGATAGGCAGTTGCGACCATGTTTCTGCTGAGGACTTCTTTTTTTTTAGCGCTATACAAGGTAGCATGCAGGTAGAATTATTGCATTCATGTATTCTGGCTTTACAACTTCTCGTCGATGCTACGTGCCTCTTTCCATCGGCACTTAAGTGCCAATAGCTCATTACAAAACACTGAAGGTCTCCAACGTTGCTCCAAATTGCCATACAGACTTACAGACTTGTCAAGGACTTTGCTCGATTTGTCAAGGCATTCCCATGGACTTTTAAATCCCCTGAGGCCTCTCCAATTCAAGCCCAAACAAAGCCTAGGCCTCGCAAAGAGAGGCAGCAAACGATTCGGGCTTTGCGCTGGCCTGTCCCATGTCGAGCTTCTGGTTGAGGCTCTGAAAGCTCAGGGGGAAGTGGATGGAGAACTCATGAACCACGCCCTCACTCAGGAAGAAGGCCTCGCGAAAGCGCCGAGCAGCTGTGACATGTTACCACCGTTGTTTGAATGCCGTGACAAAGGCAAAGGCAAACTTCTTGGAATCCACATCGAGCATTTGTTCAGCTGCATGATGTACACCAAACGGTACGTTTGACTCGGGAAAGGCGACTGGACGTCCCTTCAGCGATGTGGGCTTCGACTTCAGAAGACCAATCCCAGGCCAAGACCGACAGGGGTCCAACTAGAACTCTGTTTTCTTGTTTTGGGGGGGGGGGGCTTAACTGCATGTGTTGGCTGCGAAGTTTAGTTGATGTCCCTTTGGTGCTTCTTGAAAGGGGATAGCTCAAGTGCACAGCTCAAGGGGAAGTAGTCATGAAGGACTCTGTACGTTCTAAGCACACAAATTGCAGGGACTCTGCTGTTTCCATCAGAGTGGGAGATTTAGCCTACATGTCGACCACGGCTCAGCAAGATGTTCAGTGGGCGGTCATCCACAGGGCCTTTGAACACGGACCTCTGAAAGAAGTTTCTTATACAAGGAGTTCTGATTGAAGGGTTCGATCAACCGCTTTAATATGTTTCGTTTGTTCTTATGTTTTCTTTTGGGGGGGGGAAGAAGGGCAAGCCGCTGCGCAATTTCTTCCGGACCCCAAATCAACTTATCTCGAAACCGGAACTGATGGCTTCCTCTTCTCTCGTCATCCAAAAAGGGGGTCGCACAAAAGGATGCACCCCAATGGTTTCCTTCCCAACTCGGACCAAAGGGTTCGAGTCAGACACCCAAAAAAAAGGCCCGGCGAGCCGTCCAAAACCTCCAGCGAACCATTGGTCTGCAAACTTTATTGTGATTCCCACAGCTGCATTCAGCTGCATTCAGGGATTGCCAGGTATAATTCACGGTGAGCTTGCTATACCCCCAGGTGAGCTCGCCATAAGTCATGCAGAAACCGCATATGCATATATATATATATACACATATATATATGTATTACATATATATCTTGACATCCAAATCCGCATCAGAATCGGGAAATCCAGAAACCAACATGGTGATGTCGGCTCGCAGCGTTGCCTGCTGCTCATTCTTAGTGTAGACCAGGTACTCCTCCGGCGGCGAAGCCTGCAGAAAGGTTGGAATTTCAAGAGTTTTGGGAATGTCGAGGGGCTCGTCTTTTTGAGGTTGAGTCCCCCAAAATGGCTTCGGCTTTCCTTTTCATTTCGCTTTTTAAAACCTTCGGCATTCTAAAAAAGACATACCTACCCGAATGAAGGTAAGGACCGGCAACTGCCAAAACGAGCTGCTGGATCACGCTTCCAGGACGAAAACACAAAGGTGTTCCCCATGGCACCTTCATGGAAATGTTGGGCCCGGATCGTGCGACCCAAGACTGGACTGACCCGGCCAAAACCTGTCGACAGCCAGGGCTCCGCTGACTGGGAACTGGAAAACAATGAGCCGAGTGGAAACATGTGGAATTGGAAGGGAGGCCTTTGCCTTTCAAAATGCAAAACAGAAATCAACCGTTTCGGGGGGGGCCGGGGCCCTGATCGGAATTTCTAGAAAGGGCCTTTCCGAAAGGGGCAGATCTTCACTCTCCGACCTGCGAAAAAGATCGTGAAAAACGCCAGACTTGTTATTTACCACGATAGCCTTTCCAAAAAGGAAGCTTACAGTCCAAACAAAAAAGGCAGCAAGTCTTCAAGTATCTCTAATAGGGAGAGTGGCGTCGCGGGGTACTAAACCAGTGTCCGTAGTCTCAGGTTCCAAATTTCTCGCCCGCCGAGAGCCCGGATCGCCTTCATGCCCACGAACTTCCCGGCATCGACGTCGCCGGGCCAGACCGTCAAGCTGGCCAAGCCGCCTGCTGTTGCTCCATCGGGAGGGCAGAAGTTGGGCTTCTGAAATGCCGGGAAAAGGAAAACGAAAGGACCCAATAGCAGCACCCCCCCCCCAAACACCTGCTTTTTCCCATGTCCAAAATCCCAAGTGCTGTCCAAAAAAGTGTCTGGTCATTGTTTTGAGGCTCGGAACACAAGACTTAGACAGTCATTAGAAGGCGGCAAAAGAAGAAATGAGCCCGCCAAAACCCTTGTGCGTAGCTGACTGCTTTCACGAAACAGGCTATGACTTGGACAGCGTGGACGCCAAGTCTGGGGTTGGCTGATCGCTGGATTAACCATTTGCTTCCTTTGGCTGTTCTGTCCGGCTCCTCCGGCCACAAACATGGAAAGTGCCAAGCTGCTTAGACCCCCCACTAAGCAAAGAACAAGCCCTCAGGCCGTCTTTGGGGCGTGAGGATAGTCATCATGTTCCCACCCGAACAATCTGCCAGGAGTGGAGCAGCGGAAAAAATGCCACGCAGTCCGGAAAAAAGGAAAAAGCGGAAGGCTGTGCGGCGCTCAGCTGAAAGCTCTTTGTGGAAGCATATGGGGGTTGTCCTATATTCCTTTGCCCGCGATTGGGCCCTTGGGCCGCACTTGCGCGGCACTTGCGCGGACTTGCGCGCGCACAGTGGCGCAGAAACTCGTTTTCGTTGACCTCGGTTTGCGAAGTTTTCGTGTGGATTGCGCGCAAGCTTTTCTAAGCACTGTGTTTGTCGTTCACACAGCAACCCACAAAGACTTTTCCCGCTGAGGTCGCTCCCGACAATTCAATGCCAGCAACATACCCTTGACTCAACAGAAAGAACAGCAGGCTCTGCCACACAGCTTGGACACAGCCTGAAAGAAGGAAAGTGCATGTTGCGGATGCCTATCCAGTGATTGAACCGCGCCGCTAAGGACATCCGAGACAGCATGAATGGCCAGATGTTTTGCTGGGGCTTCTCGTGCTTGCGCGCAACTTGCGCGCGGCTTGCGCGCGGCTTGCGCGCGGCTTGCGCGGATTTTGTCGTGTCAGTTGCTGATTGTTGAAGTCAAGACCGCAGAAGCGTTGGCTTCGTTTGGCGCCTGACTGATTGGAAAAGCACAAGTACAGCAAGAAAATATCACCTCCTTTCATGAAGCTAGGCAACATCAGTACATGAAACCCTTCAAACTGTAACCTTGCGCGTCCCTTGGGCCGCACTTGCGCGCTCCTTGCGCGCGCACAGCTTTTGCCAACTTTTACTTCTCCCCGTTCGGCGATAATTAAAACCGAAGACTGGGGTTTTAGGACGGCCCTCATATGGCCATGGGTCAAAATCCCGTACCCCCAGTGAACATCCCAATCCCCACTAAAATGGACTAGAATGGGTGGTGCACCTACCCCCTATTTATATCAAGGGCAGGATGGCAAAAGCTCAAATCCGCTTTGGACAATGACTGATGTAGCAAACTAACAAAAACAAAAACGGATGAAAACGGCATTGCCCAAGAATAGCGGGTCAGGTGGCGACAAAGGCGACTCAGGCTTCCTCAAAAAAATCCTGGACCGGATTCACCCCCTGAGCCATAGTCAAAACTGAGTAGTAGCAAAATAGCCTACCCAAAATCATGTAAGCAAGCTAAGGGTCGCCCGCAGCTATTCATGGTTGGAATCGTCCCTATCCTTCAGTTGCCCGGGTTCTGATTGTAGGTCCTTTGTTTATCAGCATCCCCCCGAATATTTATTGGGGGGGTCCCTCTGGTAGAGAGTCAGCACCAAGCACCGATTGTGCTGGTTTGCTATCGTCTTGGAAGTGTACAGGTTATTTACCACAATAAGGTATCTACTTCCCCAATCCTTTCCTGCCCTCTTCCCTACAAACAAAACAGCTGACAGTTGGAGAACCACGTATTCAACAATGCAACCTGACTGTGGCTCCCAGCCCCTGATTTACTATGAGTTACTGTATCTTCACACTCCCTCCCACACAGCACGCACTTTGTATCACAGAAGTGGGGTGGAAACCCCTTGTTCCCACAACCCTGCCAAGCACCCGGTTAACTGCAGGTCCGGAGAGTAACAACCACTTAGCTCACAGACCTTGGGTGCAAGCAAAAGGTCTAACCTCCATTGGACTTCCATAGGATAAGGAAACAGGCACCTCCTTTTGGTACTGGATTTTAAAGGGAAACCCCGTCCACAAAAAACATGCCGCATGCCACCAAGGGCATCCTTTTTTTTCCTTTTTTTTTCTTTTTTTTCCGGGGCTGTGCTTAGGCTTGCTGAACGTGTACCCTGCAAACGAAAATGAAGCTGTTGCTGGTCGTCCCGGGACTTGTCATACATCAAACACAAATTGAACCCTGCGAAACACTAAGAGTCTTCGTGGTTGATCACAATCAGGAGTGATCTGCTGGTCAACACAGGGGTGGTCCAAAATGAAAGGTCGAAATTTGTGTGTTTTTGATTTGGTAGCCGTTGTGGTATTGTTTTAAATGGAAACAAGAAGGACAATCACATCTTTCGCCGCCTGAGTCTGAAACCTCCACGTCGTAGACAAAGTCCTGAGGCACCAAGGCTGATTTGTGGCGAATCAATGCATCCGGAGCTGTGTCACTGGTGGGTATGTCTTTTTCGAGGGTACGGTGGTTTTAAAGGCAAACCAAAAGGCAACCATCATTTTGGATGGAGTCCCCCACAAAAAAAAGACACAACATGGTGATTCGTGAAGAGCATTGTTGACCCCAAATGAATCAACCCCTGGTTGATTTTGATGGGGTGTCCCCCCTTTTAGTGGCTGCAGATTAATAGAACCGGTAATGAAAAAGAGGGTCAACAGTATTTGGTCATTCTTCAACCCTCAAAATTCAAGCTAGGATTTGAACTGCAGCTACCATCCTCGCTTTGGTCAAGGGCAAACAGGTCAAATGATACCAAACGTGGACCCGGAGCAAGCACGTAGGGTTTTGCAGGGAAACCAGCCATTTTGGGGGAAGGGGGGTTCACCCTTGCATGTCTCAGCCGATGACTCAAGCTGGTGCCATTGGTTTCCGCTTGGGCATCACTGTCGAAAGGCTTACCATTGCAGGCTCGCAATACAAAGAGGATATGCTCAGAATACATCCATGTCATTCACAACACACAGGCCAGTAACCTGCATCTCCTTAAGTCCCCTGGAAAACAAATAGATGTTAGGTTCCCTTTAAAACCAACAGGGCGGAAAACAAAACACACAGTCTTCAGCAAATGGAAGATCATTTAAACCGCGGCCAAAACCTGCGGCCAAGGCGTCTCCGGTGACCTTGTGCTGCGCGGCTCGGCGCAGCACGCCGTAGGCTTCCAGATTGGTCTTGGGATGAGTGAACTTCACCAGGCGCCCTGCGCGCGGATTGGGCCGAAAAACAAATTCGGCACCGAGTCGTTCCGGGTTTTGCCCACACCAGGTGTCCCTAAAAGTACGAAGTGCAGAAAATGAGGAGATGAATGAGATGAACATTTAACACATTGAAATTATTGTTTCTGCTTAAACAGGTGAGAAAAAAATGTGTTTTCCCATTGGCCCCTAAAAGGACCTCTGGAAGTCCTGCCATAGCACATGCCCGGTCCCATTGCATTATGTGACCGAAAAATGGTCTCCAAAAGGGATCACTCAAACTAAAGCACGGCTTCCCCGTGACTTTCCTTTGTCCCAATAACGGTACCCCCAAAAAGAAACACGCATGGTGGTGTCCCATTCAAGGGCTTGGGTCTGCATGGCGCTTGCAACAGTGCAATCAACTTGGTGGATTCACAGGGTCTGCTTCATCTCGAGCCTGGGACAAAGCAGCGGCGCAGCGAAAGAGGGGACAAATCAGGCAAATGTTTTGTCGGCTTCCTGCAAGGAAACATGCCCTTGGCGGCCTTTTCTATGACTCCGGATTTTTTGTCGAGGCGGTTCGGAACCATTCCCAACGAGTCGACAGGCTGAGCCGTTCTTCTAGCGGAGGGCTGACACAACTCATCAAAGGGCAACCCCCAATCCAAGGCCGTGCTCCCTCAACCTGACAACTGGTCCGGACCTCTCATATGTGTGTTTCTCAAAATGGAATGCCCGAAAAATAGGGGGGGGGGGGGGGGTCGGGGGTTCCCTATTTTGAAACGAGGCAACAACCCGTGATATAGTTCCATCAACTGAGGGGCGGTCCACCAAAACTGGGCCTAGGCAGCGTCATGCGCCTCGTTACTTCGCAGCTCAAAACCCATGGTTCCAACTTCGAGTTTGAACCACTAGGACAATGGGTATGTCAAAATAGGGAAGGAAACGGACCAACAAAATGGTGTTCTTTTTGGCTTCTCTTTTCACACTGGTAGGTAGGGCACCCTCAAGAAACTCTCCCTAAAAAACGCGTTGCACTAAACAACATATCATTCTGGACATGCCCTTCGCAACTCCAAAATTCGGACTTTCCACCCTAAATGAGCAGGCCCCCCTTGTGGAACGAACAAGGATTACATGTGCTCTCGCGTCTCTTGATATGGGTGGGCTCTCGTGCGTCTGGCTCTTAATGTGCTCTCGGCATGTGCTCTCGTGTATCTTCCTCTGCATGGGCTCTTGCGCATCTTGCGCTGTACGTTCACTCGGCATGTGCTCTCGTGTATCTTCCTCTGCATGGGCTCTTGCGCATCTTGCGCTGTACGTTCACTCGGCATGTGCTCTCGTGTATCTTCCTCTGCATGGGCTCTTGCGCATCTTGCGCTGTACGCTCACTCGGCATGTGCTCTCGTGTATCTTCCTCTGCATGGGCTCTTGCGCATCTTGCGCTGTACGTTCACTCGGCATGTGCTCTCGTGTATCTTCCTCTGCATGGGCTCTTGCGCATCTTGCGCTGTACGTTCACTCGGCATGTGCTCTCGTGTATCTTCCTCTGCATGGGCTCTTGCGCATCTTGCGCTGTACGTTCACTCGGCATGTGCTCTCGTGTATCTTCCTCTGCATGGGCTCTTGCGCATCTTGCGCTGTACGTTCACTCGGCATGTGCTCTCGTGTATCTTCCTCTGCATGGGCTCTTGCGCATCTTGCGCTGTACGTTCACTCGGCATGTGCTCTCGTGTATCTTCCTCTGCATGGGCTCTTGCGCATCTTGCGCTGTACGTTCACTCGGCATGTGCTCTCGTGTATCTTCCTCTGCATGGGCTCTTGCGCATCTTGCGCTGTACGTTCACTCGACATGTGCTCTCGTGCATCTCGATCTCGTGTATCTTGCCGCGCGAGAAGACTAATGATTTTACAGGAAGAACCCTTCGCAATGCTTTCGGGAATAATGAGCCCAGACCCCCCGTCCAGTCAAAAGGAAGCAAACACATCACTGAAGGTTGGGCCCCCTTTCCCACGGTCACACAAGTACCCCTCTGGTACAAATGCGAATCATTTGTTTTGGCTAAGGTGCAAACTCCTGACTCAAGACAACACGTACTTACAATTGAAACCATGTCATTCAAAAGATACCCTATCCCGGTACTATCCCGTCTTTCCAGTTCTCACAGTACGCAATCGGTCTGTTCGAGGACGAGTGGTTTTTGGAAGCACCGGGCTGCTCGCCCGCCTCGGGACAGGGGCCGCAGGTTCTCCAGAGGCACCAGCACGTCGATGGCGAAGTCTGGAAGATGCACCAGCACGCGCTTGCCCTCGATGCGCGACACCCTCAATTCTAGCCCTGGTATTCCCCCCTAAGTCTTTACATGTGCGGTTTACCCATTCTGTAGTTGGGCTTCTCTGGTATACCCAGGTTTATGAGAGCAACATCTTTGGAATCAGTCTTGAGGCCCAGTGCTCTTTTCACCTTGGCTTAAAGGGACATCAAGAAGAGCAGTGGGTAGTAATAGCGGCAGCAGCAGTAGAAGAAGTAGCAGCAGCAGAAGTAGCAGTAGCAGTAGCAGTAGCAGTTGCAGTAGCAGTAGCAGTTGCAGTAGCCGTAGCAGTTAGCAGCAGCAGCAGTAGTAGCGGTTCTGCTCATGGCGCTGGCGGTTGTTGCTGCTGCTGCTGCTGCAGCTATTGGTGTTGGAAATGGTGTTGCTGGTCACGGTGCAGCGTTTTGGCTTTATTGTAAAACACAAGGAACCGTGGGCACAATTCGGTTGGGTTGGTTGATTGTGAAAGGACACCAACCAAACACATAAACATTGAAGACTCAATTTTCCACGGCGAGAGCGGGACAACCCCATCCGCCCGCGAGGCAACAGGGGTGAAACCTTGCTAAGTTTAAAGGCCTGGGCTTGGATGTCTGCCCAGAGGTCAGTTTCGGCCTGTTTTTCCGAGGCTACCTTTTGGTGCTGGTTTTTTGAGGGGAAGCCAGAAGAACGCCACCATTCCGGCCAGTTTGATTTGCCCCAAAGAGATACCCCTCAGTGCAAGTCTACCTTCGGGCAAGCAAACAAAGGCTTGGCGTCTCTAAGGAAAAGAGGGAATGACTCCTTTCAGCATTTTGTTTGTTTTGCACATTTTGAGAAGCCAAAGGTTTTCAACACACACACACACACGAAAAGGGCGAGCTTTTTCTTTCAAAGGTGCCCTGGGAAACCAAAGCAAAACCACCAAACAGCGCAGCAAAACCACCAAACAGCGCAGCTGTTCCATTAAAAATACAGGCCCCCCCCTGCACAATGCGTGGCTTCCCTTGTCATTTCACTCCAAATCCATCACAAAAACCGGGCGCCCTCAAAAACAGACCCGCGCATGTACCGTCTGATCTTTTTCACATACTTGGTTCCACTTGCAAAAACGGCCTCTTTCAAACCAGTTTCACATACAAAGAACGGCCATCTTGCGAGCTTTAAGTAAAGAACCCAGTTGCCGTCGCATCTTCCAAACCATTCTAACCACCAACCCAGCGAACCCCAACTCCCAATCCCAACGGCCATGTAAGGCAAAAGAGAAGCTCCCTTTCCACCTTCAGGCCTTTCTTGCTAAGGCCTTTTGACTCCCAAGTCACTTGGGAAAACCATCCCCCCCCCAAAAAAAAACAAAGAAGGCCAACAAAAACCGAGAAGAAGAAAACAAAAACGAAGACAAACAAAAAGACCGCCCCGCCGGCTCCGAAACCCGGCTCCGGAACCCGGCTCCGGTTCCGTCGGCTTCCGTCGGCGTCTGTTCGCGCCTCGAAGAAGGCCACCACCCGGCCGCCCGCGGACTCCAGCAGCGGCCACTTGGCCATCCGCAGCTCCACGGCGCAGCCGGGGCGCAGGAAGGTGCTGGGCCTCGGCGTTTTTTCTCGCATGGTGGTCGTTCGGGTCGTTCGGGTCGTTCGGGGCGTGTGGGGTGTGTGGGGTGTGTGGGGTGTGTGGGGTGTGTGGGGTGTTGGGCGTTGAGATCTTTGGCAAGTCAGCTTAGGCCGTGTGGGTTGTTTGGGCTGGAAATCCAGTGGTTTGCGGGTTGTTGGCTTGCTTCCCTCCAAGTACCAACCCAAAACCGAGGTGCTCGTGTGGGGTGTGCTTTTAGTCATCCTTGCAACTGATTTTAGAGATCTTTGGCCTGTGGGTTGGGGATCTTTGGCCAGTCTCTGCTGGTTTTCTGTCGGCTTGTGGGCTTGTGGTGGGCTGGTTTTCTTGGCCTTTTCTGGCCAGTCAACTTAGCTTTTTTTTGCAAGGCAAAGCATGATGGTGAACAAAGAGCGAACTTAGCTGGTCCGACTGATTTTGAATTGACCCCTCAAGAAAGGTTCTTGGTTGCTTGTGGTTTGTTGTGATTCTTGTGGCTTGCATGTAACTAATTGCATCTTGGTAGGCAGGAAAATCGGAAAGCTGTACCAACTGGGACAGGTTTTGCCCTCTTGGGAAAGGCTAAAGATGACGAGATTTGGCAAACTTTCTGGGCGCGTGTACGTAAGGCATCCTCGAAACCACCCAAATTGAACAGCGGTGAAAGGGAAAACACACACACACACAAAAACAAAAACAAAACAAAAACAGGATGCCAACCTTTGGAGGCGAATAAAAAGACTCAGCATTGATTTCCCCCACAAATCCTCAAGAGATTCTTATTATGGAAAGTTCCTTATGTTACCCAGCTCTGCTGGACCTCGGTTGGACACTGGACAGCAACTGTGATGTTTGGAGGGACATCAAGGCACGTGATTTTCTCTCTGAGTTGTATATCCCCCGATTTTTCTCCCAAGGGGACTTTCAACGACCGAGTAGGTTCAGACACCCAGCCTTTGAGGGAATTCAGGGACTCTTAAGCAGACTGCGCCGCAGTCACTTTCCGGGTTGAGGGGTTTGATATGCGGCCATGATGTGGCTCAGGTCTGGGATACATCGACGGTTTGGCTCAGCGGCACATCCTCCGCGCTGGGGCCAACCCCAGGCAAGCACCAAGTCACGGAGCCAGTGCTGAGGTCTTCGTAGTAGGTCCTGCAGCTTGCTCCGGGTGTTTTCTAACCTGACCGGGTACACCGAAAAAGTCAGATCTTCGGATTTTGGATCATATTTCGTCAACCTGGAAATAACAAATATGTTTCAGTAGAGGACGTCTTGCAGGAAATCCCGCTCGGCTTGCAGGGAGATTGGGGATCTGCTGTCGGGTCTTCTAAGGATGTACCTCATGAGGTTGAGGGTTTGGCAGACGGGAACTGGAGGAAAAAACCTGGCTTCAGTTTGAGGTTTGTCTCCCAAACGTGATCCGGATTCAAACGCTCAGTGTCTCTGTGTGTGTGTGTGTACGCAGGCTTCATTGTTGCAGCAAAGCAATTGGATAAAATGAAGCACACAGTTACATAGTGTGTATATATGCAGCGTTGCAGCATGGGTGAAATACAGCAAGCAAGTAACAGGTACTCACTGGAACTTTCTTGTACAGGTGCATGGCCCAAAGCCTCCACCACCATGTTGCGTTGCGAAGGCTTCCTGGAACCTAATTGAAAAGGCCGTTTTCCAGCTTCTTCGACATGTTTGTTAGTGATTGCGTTCTTCTGCGGGCTGTGTGCCTTATCAATATGTGTTTGTTTGTTGTTTTGAAGGGGATCCTTGGTGAAACTTGAGCTGCCTCGCGCTCGTTTTTCTGTACTCAGCAGGGATATTAGGACCCGAGCCCCCAGGAAGGTTCTTACAATAAGTTGGAGCCACAAAAACGGCACAGGCTGGAGCGTAAGGCATTTTTTTCTGTTCGTAAGTCATTCGTCTTGCCTCTGCCTAACCAGTCCCTTCATTTGGTTCTGGACAGAGCCGAGCCAGCCCTCGTCTATAGCGGATCTCGTCAAACTCAAGGAAAGTGCCAGTCTCACTGGGTGGTCGCAAAATAGGATACGATATGAAACCAATCCGAATGGGCAACAGCTTCCTTTTGGTTTCGCTTTCACACCAAGCAAAAAGCGGACCCTAGAAAATACATCCCAGGAAAGTCGTATCGTCAAAGGCTCGCCTAAGGAAACGAGCCCCGTGAAACAGGACGGCTTTCGGGGTCCATTTGTTCTGACACGTGCCCACTGCACATCATGTTTAGTCACTTCCGAGGCTGGCCAAGTGGATTCGGTACATCGCATGTGTCAAGCCTTGCCGCGTTGAACTGTGCCCTTCCATCTGAGGGTCGCTCACAGTTCTAAACCCACTAGAGATCACAGGTCACGGACTGGGTACCCAATTAGAATGGGGTGGGTGCCTTTAAACCAACTTTTTGTCATGACTCTGGGGGCAAAAGTATTCGTAGGTGTGTTTGCCTCCACCTCACTGCCGGTCAAGTGGAATGGCCAAATCAAGTAACCAAGCTTTTGATTTACCGTCATCAAATGGGTTCTTTCCAAAAAGTGACCAAGCTGCCATGTCCTGACAGAACTCCTAGCTCCTCAGCTCCCTTCCTAAAAAGAAGAAAAGCTCCTTAGCTCCCCTCCACTTGCTGGTGCTCAGCAGGGAATGTGTAAATGACCCCGATAAACCATCACTTGTGGTTTACTTTCAGGGGACCAACTCCTGCGTTCATCCCCTCATTCCCTTTTGTGACTAGCTCCTCCAGCAGAGAGGAGGAGGAAAAAGGGTACCCTTTCTTCTGTTTTTTCTATCTTAGTAGGGGAACCCTCCCCCAAAAAGGGAAACGGTAAAAGGGCACCAAAAAATTGGCTGGGGGACCTAGGTGACCAGCAAGTCCAACCGGCTATGCGTCCCGCCTTCCCTCGGACTCCCAGGCGCGGAAGGAGAGATGCGCCTTCTCCGGCAGCACGGGCCCCGCCCAGACCGGCAGCCTGGGTCTCGGGTTGGAAGAAAAGAAGGCGCGTCGAAGGTCAGGCTATTTCAGACCCTTGCGGGAAAAAGGGAACCCGTTTTGGGGTCGAGTTCCCTAGTTTCAAAGAACTGGGCGAAAGAATTGGTGAAACCAGTTTTGGGGTCCGTTTTCCCCCAGTTTCGGTTCAAAAGGCCCCAAAGGCTAAGCGTTGGTGCCTATCAAAGTCAATTTTTCAGACCACAGGCCATTGAAGGCCATAGCCCCATGCTTCGCGACCCTGCTCAGCCAGAGCAATCCGACCCGCTCTGAAAATGGGCCCAGGACAGCCCAAACGAGCAAAAGGTCGATTTGAGAAATGGGAGGGGGACGTGAACCTGCAATAGCATATACAATGACTGAAAGGAAAACACACAAATAGAGCAACTTTCAAGTTGCTTTCTGGGGAAACGCTTTGGTGTTTCTCCAAGTTGAAGGTTAAATCACGGTGATTTCGAAAGCAGGCCTTCTGTTGGAGCCCGTATTGAAAGTAGGCCACACTTGCTGGTCAATGACATGCTCATCAATTCCCAAGCAAACCACTAGGTTGGTCAAACTCGCTCCTTGCGAAAAGGTAACTCGATGTAAACTGACTGGTGGGTAGCGCACGTTTGCTCATTTTGCCGAAGCAGAGCCTACAACTCCTGGCGAAGCAAAGCCAACACATGTCCGACAGGCAAAGTGTTTCACTTGCCAAGTAGATGGCACCGGTGGAATTGCGCCATCTACCTTCACCCAACTGTAACCCTTGCTGCGATGCCAAGGTTCTTGATTTCCACGACTGCACAATCAGGATCCCATTGGCACAGCCCAAAACCCATTGACCACATGGATCTATGTGAAAACCGGTTGTAGTAAATCTAAACTTACCTACCAACCACGCAACCACGGAAGGAGGGAAGGAAGGAAGGAAGGAGGGAAGGAAGGAAGGAAGGAAGGAAGGAAGGAAGGAAGGAAGTCTGTAAGTCTGCAAACCCCAAAACCCATTGACCACATGGATCCAAGTAGAACCGGTTGTTTTCCATAAGTCTGCAAGTCTGGCCATTTCCCCTCCCCGTCTCGCCGAAAGCGCCCTCGCGCGAAGCCGCGGAAGAGGCTCCGCGTGGCCGTGGGCGAGAAGTCCACCTCTGGGAAACTCGAGATGGGACACCTGAAAATATGTGTACAAATACTCTCTATGATAGTCTCTATACAAACATAATATCTATCTAGATTCATGGTTGTGTCAAATAAAATATCTATCTAGATTCATGGTTGTCTGTTTCTTAGGGGACCTGCCCCCCTCTTTTCGGATCGGTCCGAGAGAATCACGCGCTTCCCCACGCATCCCCTTCTAACTTCCCTTGGGTAAACTTAACATTGTGCCACCGACCCTGCTGTTTTTTGGGCTTCCGGTGTCCCCCGAAGGGTGATCCCGAGTCCGTGTTGAATGGGACCCCCTTCTTAATCAAAGCAGATCCACCATGGGTTCCAAGGAGCAGTCCCAGGAAGGTCACGTATATGACAGGCAGGTGTTGAAACATATCGGAAGGCCGTGCTTGAAAATACCTCAAGAACGCAAGTGCGAAATTTCAGAGCATAAGTGCAATATAACAGGTTGCTATTGTTGCAAGATTCAGGCCAGATCATGGTGGCCAATCGCGTCCCAAGTGTGAGCCAAGGACTTTTTAACGGGCCAGCGGGCCGTCGCGCCGTCGCACGTTCAATAAGGCATTTGCCCTGGTTCCTTTTCATAAGCTGCTCGATGTTTGTTCACGGGCAGTTGGCTTCAACCAAGGCGAATAGCTCCCAGTTTCCCACATTCTACCAAACAATGGGATTGTCAAATTACTATGGGATTGCTAAAATGCTATGTGTCTCAATCAATGATTCCAAGTCTCCACTTTTCAAGGACCTAAATGGCTTCAGGCAGTCCGATGACCTCAAAATGTCCTTTTGTTTCTGCGAAAGCCATGTTTTCTGCATGTTTCATCGGTCACAACCTCCTGGCATAGTTCGCAAGGTTCATGAGACATATATAGAAAAGGCTGTATCTTTTTTTGATGGTACAATTTCGAGGGGTCCCCGAAAGAAACACCCACCCAAATCAATCGGATTTTGAACCGAAATGGCGCTGGCTCACGCTTTTTATGCTGCCCAGGAGCCCACAGGCATTGGCCCGGGTCGAGACCGCCGGTGGTGAGGATCAGTGGGCCCTGCGCTACGCCCGAAATCCGAGAACGGGAGCTTTACTCCCAGTGTGCCATATGAAGGCTTACTCCCTATGCGCCATGTGAAGGTTTAATCCTTATGTACTATGTGGACGCTTGCTCCCTGTGTACCATGGCAAGAATTACTCTCCCTCTCTATGCTATGTGGAGGTTTACTCCCTCTGTGCTCTGAGGAGGTTTACTTGCCATGTAGGGATTGACACCCACTGTGCCATGTGAAGGCTTACTCCCTATGCGCTATGTGAAGGTTTAATCCTTATGTACTATGTGGACGCTTGCTCCCTGTGTACCATGGCAAGAATTACTCTCCCTCTCTATGCTATGTGGAGGTTTACTCCCTCTGTGCTCTGAGGAGGTTTACTTGCCATGTAGGGATTGACACCCACTGTGCCATGTGAAGGCTTACTCCCTATGCGCTATGTGAAGGTTTAATCCTTATGTACTATGTGGACGCTTGCTCCCTGTGTACCATGGCAAGAATTACTCTCCCTCTCTATGCTATGTGGAGGTTTACTCCCTCTGTGCTCTGAGGAGGTTTACTTGCCATGTAGGGATTGACACCCACTGTGCCATGTGAAGGCTTACTCCCTATGCGCTATGTGAAGGCTTAATCCTTATGTACTAATTACTCTCCCTCTCTATGCTATGTGGAGGTTTACTCCCTCTGTGCTCTGAGAAGGTTTACTTGCCATGTAGGGGTTGACTCCCACTGTGCCATGTGAAAACTTACTCTCTATGCGCTATGTGAAGGTTTACTCCTTATGTACTTTGTGGACGCCTACTCCCTATGTCCATGGCAAAAATTACTCTCGTGGAGGTTTACTCCCTCTGTGCTCTGAGGAGGTTTACTTGCCATGTAGGGATTGACTCCCACAGTGCCATGTGAAAGCGTACTCCCTATGCGCTATGTGAAGGTTACTCCTTATGTACTTTGTGGACGCCTACTCCCTATGTGCCATAGCAAGAATTACTCTCCCTCTCTATGCTATGTGGAGGTTTACTCCCTCTGTGCTCTGAGGAGGTTTACTTGCCATGTAGGGGTTTACTCCCTCTGTGCTATGTGAAAGCGTACTCCCTATGTAAAGGTTTACTCCTTATGTGCTTTGGGGACGTCTACTCCCTATGTACCATGGCAAGAATGACTCTCCCTCTCTGTGCTATGTGGAGGTTTACTCCCTCTGGAGGTTTACTCCCTCTGTGCTCTGAGGAGGTTTACTTGCCATGTCGGGGTTGACTCCCACTGTGCTATGTGAAGGCGTACTCCGTATGCGCTATGTGAAGGCTTACTCCTTGTGTACTTTGTGGACGCTTGCTCCCTGTGTACCATGGCAAGAATTACTCTCCCTCTCTATGCTATGTGGAGGTTTACTCCCCTTCTGCTCTGAGGAGATTTACTTGCTATGTAGAAGAGGTTTACTCCCACTGTGCTATGTGAAGGCGTACTCCCTATGCGCTATGTGAAGGTTTAATCCTCATGGCAAGAATTACTCTCCCTCTCTATGCTATGTGGAGGTTTACTCCCTCTTTGCTCTGAGGAGGTTTACTTGCTATGTAGAAGAGGTTTACTCCTTCTGTGCTATGTGAAAGCGCACTCCCGATGCGGTACGTGAAGGCTTACTCCTTATGCACTATGTGGACGCTTAGTCCCTATGTACCATGGGAAGAATTACTCTCTCTCTCTCTATACTATGTGGAGGTTTACTCCCTCTGTGCTCTGTGGGGGTTTACTTGGTATGTAGAGGTTGACTCCCACTGTGCTATGTGAAGGCTTACTCGCTATGTGCTATGTGAAGGTTTGCTCCCTGTGTACTATGTGGACGCTTGCTCCCTGGGAAGAAATACTCTCTCTCTCTCTCTATGCTATTGGAGGATTGCTCCCTCTGTGCTCTGCGGAGGTTTGCTTGCTGTGTAGAGGCTTTTTCCCACTGTGCTATGTGTAGGCTTACTCCCTATGCTATGTGAAGGTTTGCTCCTGATGTACTATGTGGATGCTTACTTCCTATGTACCATGGGAAGAATTTCTCTCCGTCTCTCTCTATGCCATGTGAAGGTTTACTCCCTCTGCCCTCTGTGCTCTGTGGAGGTTTACTTGCTATGTATGTGGACGGTTGCTCCCCATGTACCATAGGAAGAAATAGTATCCCTCTCTATGCTATGTGGAGGTTTACTCCCTTTCTGCTCTGAGGAGATTTACTTGCTATGTAGAAGAGGTTTACTCCCACTGTGCTGTACTATGTGGACGCTTGCTCCCTGTGTACCATGGAAGAATTACTCTCTCTCTCTCTCTATCTCTCTATGCTATGCGGAGGTTTACTCTCTATGCCGCTCCCTGTGTGCTATGTGGAGGTTTGCTCCCTTTGTGCTAATGTGGAGGTTTGCTCCCTATGTGCTATGTGGAGGTTTGCTCACTATGTCGTGCTAATGTGGAGGTTCACGCCCTACAGGGTTTACGCCCTGAGGTTTACTCAATTCCTGATTGCGTTTGCTAGCCAAAAGTAACCACACTTGTTGTCGTCTCAAATGCGGTTTTTCACAAGTTCAAAGCCCAGGAATGCAGGAGTGAGACTTGCATAAGTGATTGTCCAGCGCTTTGAGGGGATCCCCCAATTCAACTACAGTACAAGCTACGAGTAGCCAAATGGGTGTTCTGAACTATGGCCGGATAGTAATCAAACCTGTCGGGAAATATTTTAGTAGGGGAACCCCTCCCCCCAAAAAGGGTAAAAAGGGGCACTACTGGGACCTAGCCAACCGCTTGTTGGAGCAGTTCACTGGGCCAGGTGTTCAAAACCGTTAACCCCTCAATCTTTGACTCGAGGTAGGCAAACCTTGGTTGCTTTCTGCTACCCTGCCAAAAGTTTAACTTTTAGTGGTTTAATGGAAAACCTATGAGTTGGCAAAAAGTTAAAGTCGTAACATCCAAGCAAAATGCACCAAAGGAATCGAACCTCGTTCCACAGTCCCATAATGACCCCCGACTTGAGACCATCCATGCACGCCACGCCTTACGAGTATATAGACGCTCGCGTTGCACCGTTTGGTTCGACACTTCCCAAATCAAGATAAATGGCCACTCACTTCCGTGGAGCCAAAGCCAGCTGTTGTTGTCCACCAAAATGGTCTTCCCAACAAGTATGCAGTCCAAACACTGGAAGTAAGACCAACACCAGCGAAAACGTGATCTGTGACACCGAGAGACCTGATTTCTGAGCCAAGCAGCTGGTTTTCGCGGCGTGCGAGCTGGATTGTCGCTGATCAATGTCTGAAAGAGCCATTGCTCGGTCATTGGGCAAGAAACCGATTCTGTGTATGTCTATTGCAGATGCACATTCAGATCATTGGGAATTTAACATATCTTACATTTCAGCCAGCTATGCTTCTCTCGTTATTTGGTTGCTCTGTGCCCATCATGATCCAAGGGTTTTGCAAGTTGCTCCTTTGGGGCAAGCCAGTGCTGAGGCTTGTGGTGCTTGCGGATGTGGTGGTTCTGGTTGTGGTGGTTGTCTGTGGTGCACGTGGCAGTTGTGGGAATCAGTCATCAATTCAACCTTGTCGGGACAAAAACAAGGACTACCATACCGGATCGGCGCCGAATCATCCTGGAAGCGTTTCAGCTGGAGCGTGGGTTAGCTTCAAGGAAATGGCCAAGACCTCAAAAAAAAAAAACACGCCATGATGGCCGTTCTGCTCCGGCTGGGGGAATGTTTGGACACCGGGCTGGGCATGCACAACTGCCATGAGCAACCACCTCCTTCCAGGTCGACCCAGTAATGCGAAAACAAATGAGGTGATTCTGAGAAGTGCCCACGCTGGTCACAACTGTGGTCTAACTTCTCTTCAGAAAATAAGCTCCAAAACTGCGGAGTTCCCGCCGGCCCGAGCGGAAGAGACCGCTTGAATCCGAGAGACAGCAGGCAGATGTGAAGCAGTCCACGCACCCCTCAACCAATGGGAATGGCCTCGCATGAGTGGTAGAAGCGTTGGATGATGTGTCTGCGTCTCTGGCCCAATTTCACTGGCTCCACTTGGGGTTATCTTAAATCCAACAGAGATTCCTTCCCCCCCACCCCCCGCCCCACCCAACTCGTGCGCCTCAAAGGCGTTTTGCAACGTTCGCTTTCTGTAGGGAGCTTCCGTTCCCATGTGCAAGTCTCCTTTGGGGACTCCTTGATATTTTTTACTGTGGGGAAGCTGTCGTGTTCCTTAGATGGTTTTCGTGGGAATGAACCATCATAACCGTCCTTGGCAACCACGGGTTGCTCAGCTTTTGAGGGTGTTCCTATTTTGTCAGTTTGATTTCCAAATTCCCAGCATTTCTTCTGCTGAAAATAGGTCTCGGGTGAGACACCGTGAAAACATTTCTTGGGTCAGAGTGGTACGCTGGAGGTTTGTTGTTTGCACTGAGGCTTCAAGCTCGATTCCTCTTCTACCAGACCTTTGCAACAACAACGCACCTGGTGGAGGAACAACTGATGACAACCTGAGCAAAGCTCAACATGGATCATGGATCTGCAAAAAATGTGCTACTTGGCAGACCCAACTCAAAGACTCAAAGAACTATGAAGAGATCTGGGCAAACTACTATGACTCACAAGCCGCAAAAAAAATGGGGATCCTCACCAGAAGGGATCCTGCATTGAGCGATCCCAACTTGCCCCAAGCTCTCGCGAATCGCTCGGGCGCTTTCGCCACATCCCAATCAACCACATCCCTTTCGTCCAAAACTGGGTTCCATGCAAGCCTTCATTCTTCCAAAAACGACCAGTTCAAGGCAAAAGGATCAAAATAAACTCAAAAATGTTCGGGCATAATCTGACAGTCTAAGCCCGGTGTGGTAGTCCAGTAACTACATTCATCTACAAGGAGATTTGGGACCCAAGAACCCTTGGCCTTTGAGGAAAAGATGTTCTGGGCTTCCCTGCCGGGGCCCAGGATGTCCCCACTGGAGAGGTGCCCAAAATGCTGCAGCTCCTGTCCGCACTGCAGGCGCACATGGCCCACGTTCACCTCGGAAACGAGGTGAACGCGACCGGGAACCCACGAGAGAGAGGATCGATCCCTTGGGAATTGGTAATTACCCCTTTTTGGGTGGGTTGAACGGGGAATGAGAGAAACACCACCAACTTGGCGGGTCCAATAAACCCAAGTCTCTACATTCTGTTTGCCACTGAAGGTCTGCCCAAGCGCGAGGCACTGAGGGAGTGAAGCTGGATGCTTGAGCTGCCAGGTCCAAACTGGATTTCTCGGATGGCTTTAAGCCCCATGCCCAAACCCCATGCCGTCCTTTCAAAGCGGTCGTGCAAATATTTAAGGGCTCGGCTCGCAAGGGAGCTCAAGGAGCTTAAGGTGGGGCTGAGTCTTCTGTGGTGGACATCATTTAGATCATTTAGGAGGGGATCCATGTCCACCAACCAGTTTGGAGGGGGTTTCCCTATTAATATTCATAGCCAGGTGGAACATGCATAGTAATGTCAGCCCCTCCTTTCACTGGGTCAAGGGCTCCAAAGAATCCCAGGCACCACAGCGCAGCTCACGTTGAGGGTGGGGGTGAGGAGCTGTGTGGGCAGAAACTGCTGGAGGTTGTCGGGGTCGATGTGGTCCTGAACGGGCTTGGCCTTATGGCACTGGCAAATGATAACCAAACTGAAACCAGAGCCACGCATTCCCCACAAACACGTTAAGCCAAGCAAAAAGCTTAAACAGGTAAGCTAAGTCTGGCGATGAACAGGCTCGCTCTCACCTTTCGCCGGTTGCCACTGTTAAAAAACCTGCACAGAAAAGTGGAAACGGTGCCGAAGAACTGGATCCAGTTCTCTTTCTTTCACGAGAGATGCCATCGAGCCCATCGATAAACCTTTAATGGAATATGATGCAAGCGGTCCCAGTTCACAGAGCTTCAAGAACTTCCAGAGAGTGGCCCAGAGAGTTTCCAGCCACAAACAGTTTCCAAATCTGGGCGTGAAATGGCAATCCCCACTAAACACTAAGATCTCAAAAACCTACGGAACCGGATGGCTGGGAAGCACCAAGAAATGTATCTCCTGAATCCTACGCTCCCACAGGACACCTGGGTGCAATAGGACTGCCCCCCCAAAAAAAACCAAGAAAAAACCCAAAACACATGAGGAACTAACCTCCGGATCCGATCCTGGACGCCAGTTTTGACCCATGCCAATCCCAAAGCTGGCTCGGAATGGGCGGGTTCCAGTAGCAGCCTCAAATTGATTGCTGTCGACCTTGTTTTGACCCTGGCCCATGCAAGCGTTGGCACATCTGTGGACAAATTGAACAGGTCGCAGGTGGCTCTTTTCAGCCCAAGTCCGGTGCCAGATTTCACCGGCTCATTTCTGTGGGCTCAGTTGGTTGTCCCATGGCTCGACTGACGTCGATGGCCACGAAGACGGTAACACGAACCATCCAACCAACTTGGGACCATCTCCGGACTTCGACCCATGTGATCCCACATCCCGACGATGTCCCTTTTGCCCCTTCCAAACGGACAAATTTGGATGGCCTCTATAGGCTCCACAACCACTTTGCCGGGGCCTGTCTGAGATCCGATTGGCTCATGGTGGGACAACAACCTTGATATCAAGGAGTGCAAGCCCATGACATCAGTTTAATGGGTATTCCTGTGCTTCTTCAGTTCAAGCACCAAAACGGCTTGCATACCCCCAAATTTAAACATCACCCCAAAATTGGGCTGTCCTCAGATCCCCCGCTAAAAAGCTAAACCGCAGCAGATGGCTGGGAACCACCCAGAAACTCCACAGCCGCAGCCCCCCAACCGGCCCCAAACGGATCAACGGGTCCCCGGTCCCCGGGGAAGAAGATCCGGCGCTCCACGCGGGAGCCCAGGAAGTCGAAGAAGTCCCCACCGAGATCCAGCGCTTGGCAAAGCGGCAGGTCCTGCCAAGTGCTTAGGTTTCCAACCCTGATAACAACAGTTTTCGCAGCGGGCCCTAAAAATACAGAGAGTCACAAGCAAGAAAACAGACCGTGAAGATAGGGATCCCCAGGTTCTTGCAGGTTCATTCGTCTGTGCGTGTTTCAAGGAAGCCCTTTTGGGCTGGTTTTAACGGAAAACCAAAAGTAAAACTACCATTTGCGGGGGTCCCCTTTAAAAAAGGGGAAAAAACACTTGTGGCTTGGAATACTTTGTCCATAGGAATCAATGTGCGCGTCAAGCAACCTCCTTTGGCTTCCTCCAACTCAATGGCCGGAACTGTTCAAACAAATATGCCTCATGGGTGTGCACCTACTTGAATGTTTTTGAACATAAACCAACTGACGTCGCCTCACTTTGAGATATTGAGATCAAGCCCTGTGGCTTAAACCTCCCTGTGGTTTCCCTTTGAAAGACCGCAATTGGGGGGGGGATGTGACGAGCCGAGGCCTTTGGTAAGACCGGTTAAAGATGGTGATATTATTCGGAACACCAACTTAATTTTGAACTCACGACTTACCAATAGCGAAACATTCTTGAGACGCCAGCTTTGAATTCAAGACTTACCATCAGCAGGACAATCAACAAATTGTCCACAGTCAACATGTCAGAAGGTTGTTCGCTTTGGTTTGGAAGGGAAAGCAGACAGTCACTGAAGACCTAGGGTTGCAAAGGATGGCTCCTTGCAATGAACCTGAGCATCTTGCTGAAAATAGGGGCTTTGGAAACAAATACAAGACAAAGTGGAAGTCACACCAATCTGCCATGGTTTGCCGACTTGCTCGAAGAACTTCTGGCGCTTGCACACCTCTAGCATCCCCTGCTCTTTGGTCAAGCGGCTTAAGCTAAAGATGTCAATGTTAGTGCTTGAGTAGCAATGCAAACCAAAATAGAGTTCACTTTTTTTCTTATTCCAGTTCCCACCTATTGCTCCACCCCAAAAGCCGGTTCGCACCATACTAAATTCCAGATTCTACATGCACTTGCCCAAAAACATGTAACAATAATGGCCCTTGCAGGCTGCAGTTCCCTTGAATGGGTCTTGCCAAAATCAACTTTACATTAAAACAGCGCCTGTTATCCCCCGTCTAAGCCTTGTCAGCCAGAATAAGGGGCCTTGTTGAAGTGGACTAGAATAGCGGTCTGCCCCCAACTCCCCCCCCCTTCCCACCTTTGCGCATGGCTTTTACTCTTAAACAGCCCCGCTTTTGGCCCAGAAACATCCAAAGAAACCCCTAGACACATCCCCAGAATCTTCCCAGCAAGAAGCGTTTGCAAGACTAAGGTACACTCCAAAACATCTGAGCAAGAAGCGGTTGCAAGACTCAAGTAGTATTCCAACCATCTGAGCAAGAAGTGGTTGCAA